GCCCAAATGACCAAATATCTTTCACTAGCTTTGTGGTCCCCCACCAATTCAAGGGCCCAAGGTTTGAAGCCCTTAGAAGTCTCCATATTCTCCATAAAGTCCCTCCTTTTTGGTAGTTTTCTGCTTCATTCCCTATCAAATGGGATGCGTGCTTTCTAGTATCAACTAAGAAACTTGTATCAAGATTTTCTTAATGGAATTTCCTCAATTAGGCTTCGATTTCTCCTTTTCTGCCTCAATTAACTTGAAGTTCCTAGAAATCACACAAAAATTCAATTATAAGTAGAATCTAGCAAATTATCACAACATTTGGTCAAAATAAAGGGGAAAATATTAACAAATAAACTGCCTAATTTGCGCATTAACACAATTCGTGCATTTTCAATATCAAAATGTGACATCTCAGAGGAAAACATAAAACTGTCCGTAAAACAGTATATTTGGCAGTCAAGGGTATTTTGGTAATTTCACATGCTACAGTGCTCCGATTGAGTTGCAATTTTACAGGCAATTATATAACATCATTTCCTACAACTTTCATGTTTTGACCTAAGCCTGATTCGGCTCCTAACATGGACGAATGAAGCTGGTCAGAAGCTAAACAAGTTAGTTTCAATTTTTGAAATTTGAACTTTTTCTCTAGAAATTCATATCTAACAAGTACTCTATCATCAAAATCATCAACTACTAGCTCAATAATATCAACTAATAGGTAAATAACTATAATCAAGGTTGAAAATGTAAACCCTAGCTACAAGTCCACCATAATATGCACAACTCACTAATTAACCGTTACAAACCAAGAGTATGAGTTTCTATCCAAACTTAAACAAGATTAAGGAAGAGAAAAGGGATAGGCAGCCATGATACCTTTTAGAAACTCCTTGTAAGTGTGAAACCAAACACTTTCTTCCCAAACTTTTACCACACACAACTATCTAAGCACTAAAATGAAAGTTTAATCGGTTTGAATTTTGGATTTTCACTCAAACTAAGATGGATTCAATGTGAAGTTGCTAGCTTTCCTTCTTTTCTTTTCTCTCTTCAACTCACGGCTGAAAGGTGCAGAAATGAAGGCTGAAATGAGCTCCAAGAAAGATAAAAAGGTAAGAATTGATTTGGGTCAAAGTTGGACAAGTGTCACACTTTGATTGGAAATCAAAATTTTCTTTTCTTTCTTTTTTTTTTGTCCACAATTTCGGCTGCATTGAGAAGATATTTAGAGCTGATTTTGTTCAATTAATAACAAGAAAATTAAGGTAATAAAGTGGTGGTCAAGTGGTGCATTCAATCGGTAATGATTGTTTTGGTTTAAAGACTAGAAACCCTACTTGTACTCAAAACCCTAGTTTTACTTGTGACTAACAGGTTTTTCTTAAATATCTTATATTTTAATCGAAACCCTAATTTTAATCTATGGAGTTGTAAAATTCCTCATATTTTTCTTAAAATTTCCTTTTACTTGGAATCCATTACCTTATAGTAGCTATACTACTCATTTACATCCCCAATGGTTGAAATAAAGAATAGAATTAAGAGTTTTCCCTTTACATTCATCGTTAGGGTAAACTAAGATTTTTACGTCTTTTCGTAGTGTGAGTAATCGGTACGGGGTGTGTACTAAATTGGGTGATTAAGAGTGAGTTTTAGATAAAAAAAAGTGTGTGATTAGAAATAATAATAATAAATTAGTGAATTATAAGTTAAAACTCTAGTACGTGCGAAATAAGGAAAAACGGGTTGAACCGATGTGTACCGTTCGTTACCGATTGAGTGCACCACTTGACCACCACTTTATTACCTTAACCTCCTTGTTATTAATTGAACAAAATCAGTTCTAAATATCTTCTCAATGCAGCCGAAATTGTGGACAAAAAAAATAAGAAAGAAAAGAAAATTTTGACTTCCAATCAAAGTGTGACATTTGTCCAACTTTGACCCAAATCAATTCTTACCTTTTTATCTTTCTTGGAGCTCATTTCAACCTTCATTTCTGCACCTTTCAGCCGTGATTTGAAGAGAGAAAAGAAAGGAAGGAAAGCTAGCAACTTCACCTTGAATCCATCTTAGTTTGAGTGAAAATTCAAAATCCAAACCGATTACACTTTCATTTTAGTGCTTAGATAGTTGTGTGGAAAAAGTTTGGGAAGAAAGTGTTTGGTTTCACACCTACAAGGAGTTTCTAGAAGGTATCATGGCTGCCTATCCCTTTTCTCTTCCTTAATCTTGTTTAAGTTTGGATAGAAACTCATACTCTTGGTTTATAACGGTTAATTAGTGAGTTGTGCATGTTATGGTGGACATATAGTTAGGGTTTAAATTTGCAGCCTTGATTATAGTTATTTACTTATTAATTGATGTTATTGAGATAGTAGTTGATGGTTTTGATGATAGAGTACTTGTTAGATATGAATTTCTAGAGGAAAAGTTTAAATTCCAGAAATTGAAACTAACTTGTTTAGCTTCTGACCAGCTTCATTCGTCCATGTTAAGAGCCGAATCAGACTTAGGTCAAAACATGAAAGTTGTAGGAAATGATATTATATAGTTGCCTGTAAAATTGCAGCTTAATCGGAGTACTGTAACATGTGAAATGACTAAAATACCCTTGACTGCCAAATGTACTGTTTTGCAGACAGTTTTATGTTTTCCTCTGAAATGTCACATTTTGATATTGAAAATGCACTAATTGGTTGTTGATATCTTCATGAGACTTGTAGTTCTCTGTTTTAATTTCGAAACGGTATAAAGTTTATCCCAAACCGATAGGCGTAGTTTCAGTTGTGACTGAAATGTCAAGAGACGTCAAATCTGTCATTTACCTATTTGCCTTTAAACTTGATTTTCGGTTGCTTTGATAAGACTTGTGTTGTAATTGGATTATTTTGAACTTAGTTGAAGGGCTATTGTGGTAACATTGCCTATGTGTGATGTTGGAGCTGATTTGAGAAAAATAATGAAGCCATACATGGTTGGAAAATAGGTAAATACAAAGGGCATGCTGCCCAAATTTTCACTAGAGGTATAAACCAGCCTTTGGAATTCTGGTTCTGTAATCTGCAAATTCGACTTGGATCCACTGAAAACTGGGTTGAGTTGTATTCATGAAAGTTGTAACCCTTTGTTTTAGTTTCGAGACGCTACCTAGTACACCTTGATCCGATAACCACAGCTTTGCTTATGGTCAAAACCGTGTAACTCGTTTTCATACCATTTTCATTTCTGCGTACACACACATGCATTTCTTGGCCGTTTTTGCCGTTTTGGTCATTTTAGTCCTTATTTTCATGTGTGATGGTTGTTTGACTGATGATTGAATATAATCTTCTGTCACAGGCAGTGACGAACCAGACGGAGTCGGTGGACCCGTATAAAGTGCCTTGATTTGCGTGCTAACTATTTTGAGTGAATAATTGGATTTATTTATGTGATAAATTGTCAAAGTACTTTGTATATGATAAATGAAAACTTAGACGATGGTGTACTTTATCTCACTCGAGCTAAGCCTATTCTCCGTTCTTGATTTAATATGCGAGTATACATGTCGTGTGTTGAGTATCACCCTTTTGCTGTGTGCTGTTGGGGTGATTACATGACTTGAATTGAACCCATTGTGCTGTGTGCTGTTGGGGTGATTAAAGGAACTGAGTACTTTGTTGAGAGAGATCCTCTATTGAAAGACTGGATATCTCAGGGTTTGGTTCCAACCCGATTCCAATGGGTAGACGGACTATTCGAGCCAGCCAGGGTTTGGTCGAAATTAGTTTCATGCTAACCTTGGGATTTCGTTCTTTGTTAAAGTTTTGATTAAAATTAAGTGATTTTGTTTTGCTTGATCTGTTGTGTGCTGTTGACTGACCAGCGGGAGTTGATAAGGTGAACGGGGAAAGTTAAGTGGAGTCTACGGTCTATGAGTATTTTGGTTGACGGAGTGTCAACAGGTGGTCAAGTTAGGAGAATTGAACTGGCTTTGAAGTCACCCGTGTCCTACCATTGTGATGTTACATTTCTGTCTGTTGATGGGAAATATCTTGGTTTACATGTTTATTTGGATGTGATTTTTCTTTTTTACCCCTGATTATTCATTAAGCATATAGCTTACCCCATTCCATTTGTTTTTCTTAGCAGGGGCCGACGCAGGAAAAGATCGGGAAGGTGTATAGACTTTTGGTTTATAAAATAAGTGATTTTGCCATAGTACTTGTTATAGTTGACTAGTAAGATGTATATTTGTTGTGGTGGTTATAGTTAGTAGCTTCTCTAGGGTTTACTTTCTGGTACTAGTGGTATGTATGGTTTGATGTAATAGTTTATATAACTTTTAAAAATGTAATAGTGTATATAGAACTTTTTTTTTAACGTGAAATTTGTTTTATCATTTTTGGAATCGAGTCCTGACGCGAGTTAAACAGGCGATCTGCTAAACCCTTTGGTACGCCTCTGGGTACGGTAGGGTTGTCACAGTTGGGTTCGGTCAAAAATGATAGGTTGGTCTGTATTTTCTTCTTTGGACTTTTCGTTGGGTCAGGAGGGTTTTGGCTCAAAGAAATAATAAAATGGCCCAAGTGGCCTTTCTTCTTAAAAGATCAGAAACAAAAATTTCAATTCAGTCTCTGATCTTTTAAGTAATTTTACTGTGGTCCTAAAATTTTAGATTTCTTTTTAATTAGGTCCTTAATTTAATTGCAATTTGATTCATGCATTTTAGTTTTTTTTATATTGGCCCCTAATGTTTGTAATAATTATAATTTGATCTAAAAAATTTTATCAATTTTTGCAATTAGTTCCCTGACAGTTTTGATTTTTTAAGTATAATTTGTCTATCTTCTTTAAGTGTTAATTATACTTCATTTAAATGTTTTTAATTAGTAGATTTTATGGTTATTTTTATTTTTTTTATAATAATAAAGTGAATTAATTATATGTTTACATTTTATTCTCTTTATTTGTTAATTAAATTGGTGCCTTGACCATTTTGTTGATTTTGAAGTATAAATAGAGCAATCCAACCTCATTTAACCATTATTTCAAAAGAGGTACCTTCTAGTATTATTTTAAATCCTCTTATGTGCTTCTATATATTTTTTATGTGTGATTGCACTTCTAACTTATTAATAGCACTTCTAATCACACATTTCCTCTTATCTAAAACTCATTCTTAACCACCAAATTTAGTACACATATCTCACCAAGTGATCACACGGCTAAAGTACACAAAAATCCTAATTTATGCTAACTATAAATGTAAAGGTGAACTCTCAATTATAGTATATATTACAACTATTAAGGGAATAAAATTAGTAGTAAAAGAAATTTATAAATTAACTTATTCAAAATAAGAGAATTATAAGGAAAATATAGGTGAATTTCCAAGTCCTCACACTCTCTCATTCTTAAAAGAATTTTGACTTGAGACTAACTAACTTGAGTGGTGAATTATCATATTTTCGGATTTTTGTATCCGAGTACCAAAGAGTGATCCCTTTATGATAAGTCGATATCTCGATTAATATTAGGATAAGTTTGGGTGGCGAAAACCAAGGCATGGGGAATGCGAATAGTCTGGATTTGAGAGATATTAAAGATATTAGTGAGATTTGTGACCTTATTATTCAAGTGTACATACCTAGGCATGGCCATGGTTCCATTTGGAACCAGGAACAGGACCGGAACCGGACCAAAACCATGGAACCAGAACCGTGGTAGAATCTTGGATAAAGGTTCCGGTTCTGGTTTTCTAAAAAATAGAACCAGAACCAGAACCGTCGGTTTCAAAACCATTAAAAATAATTAAAAATAATTAATATAAGTAGTGAGATAATTCAAAAAAATTAGTTGTGTTTAATAGGTTTTAAGAAAGTTTAAATTTTATGGACTTTCTATATATTTTATATTAATTATTTAATTCTTTCTATTCATCTAATATTTATCATTATAATTTGTAAGTATTAAATTATTACTTACAAAATTTTTTTTGCTTATTTGCTATCAAATGACAAGTTTTGATGGTAGTAGCTCATCTTCAAAATCAAGCGAGCAAAAAAAATTTTTTTGCAATGTTTCTTCAAATGGAATCTTCAACATTGATGATTGTCCAATTCAAGAAAGTCAACATATGACAACCATTTGATAGTGTAATGTATTTTTAATTTGACAATGTAATGTACTTTTCATAAAATTTATATTATCTATTTATTACTTCTTACTTTGTAGAATAATAATAAAATTAAAATATGATCTTTATTTTGTATTTATTTTTTTACATTTTATTTGAAATTTAAATATATTGTTATATTCGTATTAAAATTGGTAATGATAAGGAATTAAATAAAATTGTATACAACCATACTGAACCGGAATCAAAACCAGAATCATAAAGAACTAAAATCAGAACTATGCGTTCTAGTTCTACCTCTTTGAAGAACCAGAACCGACGGTTCTGGAACCAGAACCAGAACCATCTTATATGGTGCGGTTCTGGTTCTACCACTTTGAAGAACCAGAACCGGTGGTTCTGGAACTGTGGCCATGCCTATACATACTTGGTTGTACTTTTTCGAGTTTTGATCAAGTGTTGTGCTTGAATAATACATAGAGTTAATGTCCCATAGGGTATGTGACTTGTTATGATATGTATATAAAGAAAGTATGTTATTGTAAATGTGTTCTATTGTTTTCATTTTATGATTTGAAAATATTTTTATCGAGCTTTATAGCTATTTTATTTCGCTCATACCTATATCGTCTATTTTTCAAAAAAGGCATGGAGGGTAGGCGAAGTTAGAGACGTAGGACTAGTCGAGGACACGGTTCTAACCGTGGACGTAGGGCTAGACGAGTATAAAAACAAGTACAAGAATGGAGAGACGAGAGAGGTGCAATGGTTGAGCCATAACCTAGATCCCGAGCTGAAGGAGAGGATCAGGTGGCAACGGCCATCCAGGAAATAACTAATATTTTAGCTCGATTGGTAGAGCAACAGGGTCAAACCCCTGTTAATCAGCCTAGGGACCCTGAACTAGGAGAAGATAGGGCCCTAGAGCGTTTTCAAAAATTTTCTCCTCCCAAGTTTTTTGGAGGACCAAATCCAGAGGTAGCCGAGAGATGGCTGGAAGTAATGATCAATATTTTCGCCGCCTTGAATTATATGGAGAAAAAGCAGGTGAATTTTGCGGTATTTCAATTGAGGGACCAGCTAGAGTCTGGTGGAATGTAATTAGGGCTAAGTGGGAGAGAGAATGGACAGTATGGATTTGGTTGAACTTTGTGCGAGAGTTTAATTAGAAATATCTTCCATCAATAGTATAGGAGAAAAGAGAGGACGATTTCATTAGGCTACGTCAGGGAGGCTTAAGTGTATCTGAGTATGAGACTCAGTTCACTAAGTTATCGAAATTTGCTCCTGAATTGATAGCTACGGAGCAAAGGAGAGTGAGGCGGTTTGTACAAGGATTGAACGTAGAACTACAAGAGGCTTTAGCGGCGGCACAAATTAATACTTTCACGGAGGTTCTTGAGAAAGTCCAAATGATAGAAATTGCAAGGGCGCAAGTGAAGGCTTTTCATGCAAAAAAGAAAGGGGCGTCTAGTGGAGACCAAGGATAGGAACAAGGTGATCTAGATATGCCACACTCTAAGGAGGGTCGAGGAGCTGGTGGTGTGAGAATTTCGGGGACACCTATGGAAGTTACTCCAAGAGGAGCCTAGGTGTAGAGTACAACTGAAAGGTGCCTCACATGGAGATCAAACATCAATCCTTTGTGGATATTGTGGAAAGACCAATCATACTGAGGATAATTGTTGACGAAAGGCACAGAAATATTTATGGTTTGGTAGTGTCGAGCACCAGCTTGCAACCTGTCCCCACAGATCAAAGCTTAAACAACCCAATGTAGGAGGAAATAAACCCAGAGTGCCTGCCAGAGTGTATATTTTAAACCACCAACCGGTGCCTAACCCGTCTACAGGAGTAAAAGGTACGATTTATGTTTTTCATTGTTATGCCAGAAAAATACCCTGAATTATTTTCGAATAAATGTATGAATTTCGAGATCGAAATTCTTTTAAGGAGAAGAGAGTGTGAGGACTTCAAAATTCACCTATATGTTCCTTATAATTCTCTTTTTTTGAATAAGTTAATTTATAAATTCCTTTTACTACTTATTTTATTGCATCAATAGTTGTAATATATACTAGAATCGAGAGTTTGCCTATACGTTTATAGTTAGCGTAAATTAGGATTTTTGTGCACTTTGACCGTGTGATCACTTGATGAGGTGTGTGTACTAAATTTGGTGGTTAAGAGTGAGTTTTAGATAAGAGGAAGTGTGTGATTAGAAGTACTATTAATAAATTAGTGAATCATAAGTTAAAACACAAGTACGCGGAGTTAGAGATAATAGGTTTGAACCGACGTATACCATTTGCTATCGATTGAGTACACCACTTGAACACAACTTTATTACCTTAATGGCCTTGTTTTTATTTGAGCTAATCAGCCCTAAAATATCCTCTAAAGCAGTCGAAATTCTTGACTCAAGAAAAAGGAGAAAAGAAAAAAAAATAAGAAACCATCTTGTGGTGCCAAGTGTCAGAAATCCAAGGAACTTTGACCAAACTTATTTCTTCCTTCTTACCTTCTATTTTGGCTCATTTTCTTCTTCCTTTCTTCATGCTTGGCCAAAAGTCTTGGAGAGAAAAATAAGAGAGGAGAAACCTTCCATTTCCACCTTGATCTTGCTTGTTTGAGTTGAAACCACAAAAATAAATCGATTAAACTTGCATCTTGGTGCTTAAAAAGTTAGGAGTGGTGAAGTTTTGGAAAAAATAGCTTGATTTCTCACTTTTAAGAAGGTTTTGTAAGGTATAAGCCTAGAACTCCCTTTTATCATTCTTAATCTAGCTAAATATGCTATAGAATCTTTTAATCTTGGCATATGATGGATGATTTTCTAGTTTTTGGTGTTGTAGTGAAAATTTTAGCTAGAGTTTATATTTTTCAACTTTGATTATTGATGTTTAACTAGCAAATATTGTTATTGAGCTTGAAAATGGAATTTGTGAAGTGATTTGTGGCATGATTGTAACTATTTAGAGTTGAAAGTTGAATTTCCAGCTTTGGCAAGTAAATTTCAGCATTTTCAGGTGAATTTCAGTCAATTTCCTGAGCTTACCGGTAGTTTTAGGAGATGAACTTGAACTTGTTTTTTATACCTTTCGAAACCTCTATGAATCTAGTTTTAAATGCCGCTGACGGAGCTCAATTTCGATTTTTCTACACCAAGTTATAGCCATTTTACCAAAACTGTTCAGTTATCCTGTTTTGGCTCCGACAGAAATTTTATATCTCTATTTTTGCCAATTTCGACCCTGATAATGTTTGAACTGGGATTGGATGCTTTCATCAAAGTTGTAGGCCTATGTCTTAGCTTCAAAACGCCATAAAATTTATCTCGATCTAATATACCTAGCTACAGTTATGACCAAAACACCGAAAGATGACAAATCTGACACTTATAATTTCCTCTTTAAACTGGTTTCCAGCTTTGATATCTATGGTGATAAGTTTATTGTTTGGTTGGTTTGGTTGGTTTTGAGGTCTTGAGTAAATGTATGTTGTTGGTTATCACTTGTGGTTAGATTGAAGGTTTATTGGCTTGTGAATCCAAATTGTATTTAGATGGGGAAAAGTAAGAGAATATGGGAAATGCTGCTCAAATTTTCGTTCGAAGGATAAGCGAGTGAATTTGAAACTTGAGCGATGATTTGAGGTCGAAGCGAACTTGGATTGTCTATAGTATTCAAGTTTCCGTTAGTAGAGGTATATAAGATGAAATTTTGCCAAAACTCGTACCCTTTAAAAGGTGAAAGTAGCGACCACTATAAATATGTTTTTCTCGTCTTTTAAATCAATTTGTGAATTTAAAAGTGTTAATCGCTTCTTTATCGAAACCAAACGAGCGAGCATGAATTTTCTAGAGTTTGATCAGTAACATGAATACTACTTAAACGAGTTTCATTTACTTGATTTTCTTTAAGCGAAACTCCTAAGTTTCGAACCCTAGTTGATTTCAAACTCTTAAATGATATTTTATCACAGATTTGGACTCCAACCTAGGAGTTGCACTTGAGCGTGATCTTGAAAAGCACTAAGTATTTGGTGAGTGTTTTCCAATGCATGATTGAACTTGATTCTTGAATGAAATGATTTGTTAATGCGATTGAAAAATACTTGACTTGTTTGGACGGGTAAGGGTGTACTTTATCGCACTTACCCTAATGCGATTTCTTACTGTTTATTGGTTATTATTGACTTGATATACCTGTACTTGTATTGGTGCATGTACTTGACTTGTAAGTGATGAGCGGTAGCATGTACCACTCTCAATCCAAGTGGGAAGTGTCTTTCATCCCTTCTCATTACTTTTATCCTCACCCTATTGGTTAGTCAGTCGAATCGAGCCTGTAAGGGTCTGATCGAGGAGACTAGCGAACCATAGGTACTACTGTTTATTGTTTATTATTTATCCTTTGGATTTGGTCCACTGGATTCGATATACTCGAGTATTACCACCACTCTTATTTTGGATTTCAGCCCCGGTAGGGGGGTTGATTGGTGGATGTAAATTGGTGTAAAGTGGAGATCCACGATCATGGTTCTGTTTTTTCAAACGTTGACGGAGTGTCAACGGGTTTGGATCAAGTTATGCAATAGGAATTTGGCTTCTGAGAGTCATCTGTATCTTTTTACCTGGAATTTGCTATTTGAAGTATTATTGTTTATTTCATGAACTCTTATACTTGCTACTTTGATAGTTCAAATTTTACATAATGATCAACTTGCTAATTGGGTATGCATGAAGTTTTGAAACCTCACTGAGTTTTAATTCACTCTATTAGAATTTTTTGTTTTCTTTACAGGGGGTACAAGCGAGGACGTGAGGCTGGTACAGGCTAGCATTGTCTAGTTTTTAAATTTTTGTGATTATACTCACGCTAGTGCTCGATTAGGGTTGAATGTATATGAAATGTTAAATATTTTGAGATATTTGGGAATGTATGAGCCTTGGAGCTTAACTTAAACATCAATGTACATTTAAAGTTTGGAACGGTTGTTTTTTTTCTTTCGAAGTTACAACTTATTTTCTTGAAGTGAGTGACAACTGGTGAGAGTTGGGCAAGCGGTTCGCTAAACCCTGGGGTACGCCCTAGGTGGAGGTGGGGTCGTCACAGATGGTATCAGATCTCTTATCCAATTCAAGCCGGGAGAGGGTTCTCGGACTGTGGGGATTGGCTTGTTAAGTGTGTAACAAATGTCTATTGTTGCGGACATTAGATATGTATGTTGGGTAGAAATCTGAAAAGTAGTTGATTTTCTCTTGAGACTAGGTATCTTGAGTGGTGAATTATCATATTTTCGGATTCTTGTACCCGAGTACCAAAGAGTAATTCCTTTATGATAAGTTGATATCTCGATTAATATTAGAATAAGTTTGGGTGGCGAAAGCCAAGACACGAGGAATGCGAATAGTCTGGACTTGGGAGATATTGAAGATATTAGTGAGATTTGGGACTCTTATTATTCAAGTGTACATACCTAGTTGTACTTTTTTGAGTTTTGATTAAGTGTAGTACTTGAGCAATACCTAGGGTTAATGTCCCATAGGGTATGTGACTTGTTATGATATGTATATAAAGAAAGTATTTTATTATAAATGTGTTCTATTATTTTCATTTTACGATTTGAAAATGCTTTTATCGAGTTTTATATCTACTTTATTTTGCTCATACCTATATCGTCTATTTTTGAAAAGAAGCATGGAGGATAAGCGAAGTCAGGGACGTGGGACTAGTCGAGGACACGATTCTAACCGTGGACGTGAGGTTAGACGAGTACAAAAACAAGTACAAGAATCGAGAGACGAGAGAGGTGCAACGGTTGACCCACAACTTGGATCCCGAGTTGAAGGAGGGGATCAGGTGGCAACGGCCATCCAGCAAATGACTAATATTTTAGCTCGATTGGTAGAGCAACAGGGTCAAACCCCTGTTAATCAGTCTAGGGACCCTGAACTAGGGAAAGATAAGGTCCTAGAGCGTTTTCAAAAGTTTTATTCTCTCAAGTTTCTTGGAGGACCAGATCCTGAGGTAGCCGAGAGATGGCTGGAAACAATGATCAACCTTTTCGCCGCCTTGAATTATACGGAGGAAAAACAGGTGAATTTTGTGGTATTTCAATTTGAGGGACCAGCCAGAGTCTGGTGGAATGTAGTTAGGGCTAAGTGGGAGAGAGAACGGACAGTATGGACTTGGTTGAAATTTGTGCGAGAGTTTAATGAGAAATATCTTCCACCAATAGTACTGGAGAAAAGAGAGGACGATTTCATTAGGCTACGTCAGGGAGGCTTAAGTGTATCTTAGTTTGAGATTCAATTCACCAAGTTATCGAAATTTGCTCATGAATTGATAGCTACGGAGTAAAGGATGGTGAGGCGGTTTGTGCAAGGGTTGAACGTAGAACTACAAGTGGTTTTAGTGGCGACACAAATTAAAACTTTCACGGAGATTCTTAAGAAAGCCCAAAGGATAGAAATTGCAATGGCGCAAGTAAAGGCTTTTCATGAAAAAAAGAAAGGAGCGTCTAGTGGAGACAAAGGACAGGAACAAGGTGATCTAGGTATGCCACTCTCTTAGGTGGGTCGAGGAGCTGGTAATGTGAGAATTTCGGGGACACCTATGGAAGTTATTCCGAGAGGAGCCCCAGGTGGTAGAGAACAACTGAAAGGTGCCTCACAAGGAGATCAAACATCAATCTTTTGTGGATATTGTGGAAAGACCAATCATACTGAGGATAATTATTGGCGAAAGACAAAAAAATGTTTATGATTTGGTAGTGCTGAGCACCAGCTTGCAACCTGTCCCCTCCGATCAAAGCTTAAACAACCCAATGTAGGAGGAAATAAACCCAGAGTGCCTGCCAGAGTGTATACTTTAAACCACTAGTCAGTGCTTAACCCGTCTATAGTGGTAAAAGGTACGATTCATGTTTTTCATTGTTATGCCAGAAAAATACTCTGAGTTATTTCCGAATAAATGTATGAATTTCGAGATCGAAATTCTTTTAAGGAGGAGAGAGTGTGAGGACTTGAAAATTCACCTAAATTTTCCTTATAATTCTCTTATTTTGAATAATTTAATTTATAAATTCCTTTTACTACTAATATTATTTCCTCAATAGTTGTAATATGTACTATAATCGAGAGTTTACCTTTACGATTATTGTTAGCATATATTAGGGTTTTTGTGCGCTTTGACCGTGTGATCACTTGGTGAGGTGTGTGTACTAAATTTGATGGTTAAAAGTGAGTTTTAGATAAGAGGGAGTGTGTGATTAGAAGTGCTATTAATAAGTTAGTGAATCATAAGTTAAAACACAAGTACGCGAGACTTAAGGAAAATAGGATTGAACCGACGTGCACTGTTTGCTATCGATTGAGTACACCACTTGAACACTACTTTATTACCATAATCTCTTTATTTTTATTTGAGCTAATCAGCCCTAAAATATCCTCTAAAGCAACCGAAATTCTTGACTCAAGAAAGAGGAGAAAAGAAAAAAAATAAGAAACCATCTTGTGATGCCAAGTGTCGGAAATCCAAGGAACTTTGACCAAGCTTATTTCTCCCTTCTTATCTTCTATTTTGGCTCATTTTCTTCTTCCTTTCTTCATGCTGACAGCCCCACCTCCCCCTAGAGTATACCCAAGGGTTTGGCGGACCGCCTATCCAACTCTCTCCAGGACTAAATCACGTTATACGAAATTTATCAAGTATTAACCTCAACAATGAGAGCAATAACAATTACAACCTTAGATATATACAATTGTGGACATCAAATGCCCAAACAATCTCTAAATACAGTCTAGAAGTTAAACTTACAAAATAAAATCAAACAAGCCCACTAGAGAGTTAAGAGTTCCTACTCGAGCACTTAATAAAATTTATGCAAAATCTATGTCTTCTCCCATTCCCACTCTCACGTTCTTACCCCTGTAAGTAAAACAAAATTCATGGAATGAGCTAGAAACCCAGTGAGGTGCCAAAAAGTCATACAGTCACAAATTACATAACTAAACTTTTAATCGATCAAATATAAACATCAAATAATGAAATAAGTAAACACTACAATTCATACAAAGCATTCAAGTAAAAGGATACAGATGACTCTCAAAAGCCAATTTTTTCCGTTGCATTAACTTATTCCAAACCCGTTGACACTTCATCAACGTTTAAAGAGACAAAACAACGACCGTAGATTTTCACTTTATACCAGTTTTTCATCCACCAAACATACCCTTTACCGGGCGCGAACAGCAAATAGAACAGTGGTGGTAATACTCGAGTATACCCAAGCAAGAACAAGTATGGTCGATGAGATAACACTCCAATCGACTTAATCAAGATAGAAGGTACTGAGACGGGATAAGAGAAACTTCCCATTCGGATTGAGTGTGGTACATGCTACCGCTCAATACTGGGATCGATGAGTTAACTCCCTAATCGACTTAATCAGGATCAAAGTACTAAGACGAGATGAGAGGCACCTTCCACTCGGATCGAGTGTGGTACATGCTGACGTTCAGCACTTACAAGTCAAGCACAAGTACAAATACAAGTACAGGTCAATCAAGTTCAAGCGAGTACAAGATCATTCAAAAAGAGAAGGACGAGTGTGATAAAGTACACTCTCACCTCATCAAGTTCAATATTTAACACATAACACAAAGTATCATTTAAATCAAGACATCAAGAAACATGCACTTGACACTCACCACGGTAACAAATTCAAATGTTCGCCTTGAGTGCACTGCCGATCTCACTTCCCCATCCTGAAATCACATATATAAAGTGTCATAAGATCCACTACACCAAGTCACATTATTCAAAAGAAAATCAAGTTCAAAATGGTTTAACAACTCCAACTTAAAGTTGGAAATGAAAGTAATGACAGTTTTTGTAAAATGGCTAAAATTTGGTATAGAAAAATCAAAATTGAACTCCGTCAGCGGCGTTTGAAACTAGATTCAGAGTACTTTCTACCGTGAAACTTTCAGAATTTTTCACAATTCCTATGAATATCTGTGATTTTTCAAATTTGACTAAATTTTCATTCATGTTCTGTCTTTCTACTAGATAAAGCAGCCGCTTGAGATTCGATTTTGACTGACTTGTGGACAGAATCTTGCAAAGGTCACAGGTGAGTAGGTGTTAAGAAATTTCTTTGAAACTTGCAATGATTATGATTTTTTTCCTTTTTCTTAAAAGATCAAACTTGCAGCTGAAGACATAAATTAAAAGCAAAAATTTTATAATTCAAGATTACTAATTTACCCATTCTCTTTTCTTTTTTTCATTTTTTCCTTTTTTCATTTTTTTTCTTTTCTTTTCAAAAAGCCCACAAAATACGAAAATTTTATGTTAGAATGTACTAAAATAATGATTGTCGCGCCCTTTTTTTTTAAAATAAAATTTATGTGTTGAAAAAATGAGTTTTTGATTTTATAAAATAAAGAAAAATTTGAAAATTTAATTTAAAAAAAAGCCTAAAATGGAACTTAAATAAAGAAAAAATATGCAAAAAATAAATAAATAAAGGGCCTAAAATAAAGAAAAAAAGGGTCTAAAATGGGATTTAAAATAGGCGATGGTTTGAGCTCAAAAGAATAGTCTAAAAAGGATTTTTAAGAAAAAATAGGAGTCGCCATTTGGTATTGAATTTAGGTGTACCAAATCATTTAAAGTATATTTTTAAAATAATAAAACTCCCTTTTAGACGACTCCAAATCTTTGAAACAAGAGAAAAGAGTTTGGGAGTCACGGTTGAAAAAAGAGAAGGCAAAGATTTGATAGGTTCAAACCTAAGGCATCCTTTCAATCTAATCAAGGTTACTTGCG